TAAACCCCAAAGAATGGAAAGCAGGGTCTCAAAGAGGCATCTGCAGGTCGTGTTCACGGCAGGGTTATTTACAAGAGCCGAGACGTGGAGACAGCCCAAGGGTCCATCAGCAGATGAGTGGATAAACACAGCGGCTCTTACATCCAAGGGAGTGCCACTCAGCTGTCAGAAAGAAGGAGACTCTCCCATCTGTGACAACCTCCAGGATGGACCTGGAGGACGGCATGCTGAGTGAGATGAGCCGGACGCAGAAGGACAAACACTGCGATTCCACTTACCTGTGAAATCTCAAGTGGCCAGAGTCGCAGAGCAGGGAACAGAGTGGGGGTTTCTGGGGCTGGAGGAGGGGAGGGGGCTTCTGGTCGGTGGGGACCGGGTGATGGCGGCACACCAGAGCTCTGCTGTGTGCTGTCGGGCCTGCTGTTAACAAAACTGTATTGTGCGCTTAACATTGTGTTCAACGGTAGACAGGACATTTTCTTCTTGTGTTAAGTGTTTTTACCTCCAAACGCAGAAGAGACAAAAACCAGAAAGCAAAGGACACAAGGTAACCTTGCCTTTTGCTGTTACTGTGAACGTGGGATGGTTTCATGGGTGTTTGCCTACGCCCAAACTCATCAAATTGTATTCATTAGATATGTCAATCATACTGAAAGCAAAATTTAAAAAAGTCAACGTTAATGCAAAGCAATCTGTGATTGACAAAATATCAAGATTTCAAGTAAAGACAGCCCGTGCTTGGTTTGTTTACGACCCCCACAACGGGGTCCCATGTTTCCAACCTGCGTGCAGCTCTGGGCCTCACGGCCGTGACCCGTCATGGGGGTCATGAGGGTTGAGAGCAATGTGCCTGCAGACCAGGCAACGTGGGGCTTTACCAGAGGCATGTCCTTTGATTGTAGGGTGTTCTTTCACCTTTCACACTTGGCTCTAGATAGGAGAAGCTGCTTTGGAAAGGGTCTGTACTGACCAACACCGATCCGCTCGGCCTCGCGTCTCGCTGGCCGAGCACCCTCGGGTCTGCTGCTGCCCCTCTGTGATCCTCAGGGCCCCTCATTAGGAACCCGGAACGGCCTGTCCCTGATGGAGCTGCCGTGGGATCCGATGGCGTGACAGGGGGGATGCACCGTGGTGGTGGGGGGGCCTCAGTGCTGGGTCCCTCTGCCCCCTCGCCCACCCACCGAGGAGGTGAGGGTGGTGATGGTGCACCGCACTTACAGTGCAGCCCCGCCTTTGGGCCGGAGCGAGTGTCCAGACCAAGGCAGGCACGGGAGCTCGTGGTTTGCGCGTCTGCACTTGCTCACACGTGTGTGCTCATGCACGGACATGCCCGTGTGTGTATCGGTACACACATGCACATGCCCACACGCGTCTGCAGGCTCATGTGGACGTGAACACGCAGGTGCCCACATGCATCTTCGTGTGTCTGCCTGTGTGCCTGTGTGTCTCTGCGTTTACAGGCACATGTGCAGATGCACACACTCGCATGTGTGCCCCATGTGCGCTGCATGCCTACACGCGTGTGTGTGTGCACGTGTGCGTGTGTGGAGTCAGCGCATCCTCCCCCACTCAGGGAACCTGCTGGGCTGACAGCGAGACCCCGTCGGTCCCACCTGCTGGACTTGTGTGGGTTCCAGCAAGAAGCGCATCTGCTTCGGGCGCCCGCTGTGGAAAGAGACGTGGGCCCGGGGGGCTGTGCGCTCCTGGGGTAGAGGGGCCCTGCCAAGGGAGATGAGGCTGCGGGGCAGGAGTGGGGGTGGAGGAGTGCCTGCCTCCCTCCTCCGTCCTCCCTCAGTCCTCCCCATGCGGCTGACGAGAGCCGGGTACAGGTGAACCACTGTAGCTTCTCGTTTGTCTGTGGTATGCCTTCCAGAAGGACTTGCCTGCCACATTCCTCTTATAATTCAGAACCACGCAAAAGCTCACTGATCCTGCACAAACAGCCATCTTACATGTTATTCCAAATACAAATTAAATCCCAAAAGTATTTCTCTGGGAATGTAAATTGGTACAGCCACTATGGAACACAGTGTGGAGGTTCCTTGAAAACTAAAAATAGAGCTGTCACGTGACGCACCAATCCCACTCCTGGGTAGGCACCTGAAGAAAACTCTAATTCAGAAGGACACATGCCTCCTAGTGCTCATGGCAGTGCTTTCCCAGTAGCCAAGGCAGGGAAGCAACCTGAATGTCCATCAAGAAGCATGGATGAAGATGTGGTACACATCCCTATAGAATACTCCTCAGTCATAAAAAGAATGAAATAATGCCATTTACAGCAATATGGGGGGAGCTAGAGATTATCACCCCAGGTGAAGTAAGCCAGAGAAAGACAAAAATCACACAGCACTCACATGCGGGAAGCTAAGAAATGATGCAAATGAACTTATTTATAAAACACAAACAGACTCACGGACATAGAGAACAAATTTGCGGTAACCAAAGGCAAGTGTGGGTTGAAGGGAGGTTTAAATTAGGAGTTTGGGATTAGCAGATACACGCTATTATACACAAAATCCATAAACAACACAGTCCTGCTGCATAGTACAGGGAACAATGCTCAATACCTTGCAATCATCTACAATGGGAGAGAAAATGGGAAAGAACATGCACACGTGTAACTGAATCACTTCGTGGTACACTTGCAGCGAACGACATTGTGAATCAACTGTACTTCCATTAAAACGTGAAAAAAGCATTATTTCCCTTCTTGCCCTGGCCTCTGGTAAGCTCAGAGCTAGGTTTTGGCATCCTCTAAGTTTGCGGAAGCTTTCGCAGTTTTTATCACTTTGCTCACCTATTGATTTTGATATTTTAAAATGGCCTAAATGAAGATTGTTCTTTGCAGTTCTCAGAAGTCCTTGATTATACACATGCCCAGGTCCTCCTCATGGAGAAACAAGTAAATAACATGCAGTTATTCAAATTCTGGTTGTTTATGGGCGTGGAGGGACGAGCGAGTGGCTGTTGTCGGGTGAAATGGGGCCCCGGCGGGTGATGAGGATTACGGCCCAGTGCACAGCCCCAGCCCTGCCTTCATTTTTATTCACCTCTAAATCAACATTAGAAAGTCTCTGAACTACCAGGAGGAAAGAAAGGACTTAAAAAGACAAAGTATATTCCAGGAAAGCAATGATTTCTCGGGCTATTTGTCACTTCAAGTGCAATACATTAACAAACTGCTGTAATAAGAAGAGCTACTAAAAAATGATTTATTGGTCCTTTAGACCTGTTAAAACAGGTTAATGTCAATACAATTAGCTCCTGGATCAAGGCAGTCCCCCCGCAGAGGGGAAGTTGATAAAACGGCCTTCAACACCGCTCCATCAAAGGTCGGGAGTCAGGCCCGGGAGAGAGGAAAGCCCCCCTCCGGCGCCCCTGCGCCCCCTCTGTGGGCCCCCAGGGCTGCCCCCAGGACTGGACGGGGGAGCCTGAGGCCCTGAGGAGCGGTCAGTTCATCCAGGAGGCACGAGGCTCGGCTGTCTCATGGACGGGTGACCCTGAGCTTCTAAAGAGACTGAGAGGCAATGGTCACACTGTGGATTCGAGCTGGGGGGGCGGCAACTGTCCCCACGACGAGCAGCCTCAGGCTGTGGCGCTGGACGTAGCCTGGTCTCCTGGGTCCGGGGCACAGTTGGGAGCTCAGGGCAGGTGCTGTGCCCGGCCTGGCATAGGGAGGGACTTCTGTGCTTGCTGATCCCCGCGGCACCCACCTCAGCCTGCAGGTGCCACTCCTCCAGGGAGCCAGGCCGAGGCTGTGTGAGCCCCGGGGTGCCCCGGCTGGTCATCAGAGTGTCCCCACCCCCGAGTGAGCCGGGACGGCTGAGGCGCCACCATCCTCACGGTGGTGTTGACTGGGAGGCTGCTTTCTGAGGGTGGGGACCCAGATGGCATTGCGGTCAGTGTGGTCAGTGACCCTGCCCCTCCCTGCTTCGTCTTCCCCATCCCTCCTCCCCGCCCCGTCTTCCCCCTCCCCCTCCCCGCCCCATCCTCCTCCCTCCCCCCTCCCTGCCTTGTCCTCAGCCCCACACCCCTCAACAGGACCTTCTTACAGACTCAGGTTCTGCTGCTCAGTGTCTGGGGCTCAGGAGAGAAGGTCAGCTGGGCCTGCGGGGACCACTGCCCACCCCTAGCCCCGTCAGCCTCACCCAGTTGGAGTAGGGTTCTATAAAGGGGGTGGTTGTGGTGGGGGTCTGGTCCAGCGGCTCTTTCCCTGTGATAGAAGGAGGGACAGTCTGGGGCAATGGTAGCGTCTGAGAGAGAGATCCTGTTAGTGTGGACTGCTGTGGAGTCTCGGTGGTCAGAGCTGCCCTGGCCGGGCCTGGGGACCCCCAGGTGCTTCGGGGTGAAGAAATGAAAGAATGAGTGAATGAGCGAGTGAGGAGACAGCCTCTCAGCGCCCTCACCAGCCCCCTGGGGTCCTGTCCGCTTCTGGGGGAGCGCAAGGACTCCCGCCTCACGCCTGCTCCCATCCGAGTGGGAAGCTCAAGAAGCCTCCCTTTAGGTGTCTGGCACAGTCCGCTGCCTGTGGGTGGAGGGTGGTTTGCGGGGAAAAGCAAGGCCACGTCCTGCCCCATCCGTGGGCCCGGCAGCCGTGGCCCACCTTGTTCTGCACCAGTCAGGGCCCCCCAGGCCCCGAGCCCCCTCCGTCAGGGGAAGGACGTTTGTCCCTTCCGGGGCCTCTGTCCTTTAACGTTGCCCCCAACTGTCCCTTCTATCGCAGGAAGAGAGCTGCTGGGCCAGACCCCCGCCACGACCACCCCTTTCTAGACCCCGACTCCAGCCCACTTGAGCACCGCGGCCCCGTGGCCGGGACGCAGCGGACCTGGGAGAGAAGGTCCTCCATCTCTCTTCTCTGCTGGGAGCCTGGGAGATGGAGGCCCTTCCTCTCAGGTGTCAGGACAGATCGCTCGCTCTGAGCCTGTCGCAGACAGGCCCTCCCTGAAAACCCCAGGGCACTGGCCTGGCGGTCCTTTCCTGCCTCGTTGGAGGCCCCTCACCGCCGGCGGCCCGGGCGGTCTTGGCCTGGCCACCCTCAGCGCTGCCTCCCGTCGCCCGGGGCTCCGCCGTCCTCCCAGCTTCGGAGGCCCGGCCGGCCCGGGTCAGCCGAGGCTCCCTGGCACCCCTGATCTGTAGCGCCCAGAATCTCGGGTTAGCTCTGGGGCTCCAGCAGGCGGTGCCGGCAGGAGAGTGACTGCAGCGTGGGGGGGGGTGGGGGCGGGAGACAGTCCCCTCCCTCATCCCCGCACTCGGAAAAGACCAAGAAGCCTGGACTCCCCAAGGGGCAGAGCCGGGGCCCCTCTGCTTCCACGGGGGCCTTCCCCGAGGGAATGAGGGTCTCCTGCACGCAGAGGAGTGGCAGCTGATTTCGAGTCCTCGGCCCCATTTCTGGAGGGCTCACCCACCCTGGGCCACCTGGCAGGTGGGAGAGAGCTTGTCCCCTGGAGCAGCCCAGAGCTCTGACCGCTCTGGCGGTCAGCATCCTGCAGGGGTTCACTCCCGGGTCCAACCAGGGCACCCTCGGGGGGCGGGACAGCAGGTGTGTGCCCTCTTTCCAGCACAGGGACCGGGCACTGTGCGTCTTTGCACTCAGCGAACCAGACGACCAGGAAAACTGCCTGGAGGTGGTGACCTCTGTGCTGGGTCTCAGGAACCTGGCGACTTCAGCTCGGCGGGGGGGCGGTGGGTGAGGGAGCAGGGTCCACTGTGGGTCTGTGTGTCCAAGGTGAGTGAGGGGGACTGGTCGGCAAGATAGAAGCTGGCTTGCAGCCCCACCTCGCAGAGCCTTGAATGCCATGGGAGCATCGCCTCAAATACCTTTGGACAGTCACTGTCCTAGCTTCACATGGAGACCCTGGAGAGGCCGAGGGCCTCTGCCCAGGATGGTCAGTTCTTCGGGATGAGTGGACTGGCTACAGGGTAAAGATGGACGGTGGGGAGAGTCTGAGGTTAGCAGACCCCTTCAGCAGCCCCGGGAAGAGGGATGAGCTGGAAGCAGAGAGAGCTGACCGCCTGGGGGCAGGCGTCTGGAAGAGGAGGGGTCAGTGCTGCTTCTGAGACTCTCACCTGGGTGAAACCTGAGCGGCTAGAGGGAGCTGCCCCAGATGGGGGAATGCTGTGCATGGTTGGTCAGCTGCCTGGCTGGTGAACATTCATCAGACCCCTTCTCAAGGCAGGATCACTGGATAGTAGGAGGGGCCTTCTGGTCTACCCAGCTCTGGGGCATTACGCCAGGGTGCCTGCCTTCCCCCGCAGGTCCTGGCATCCCTCTGGGTACCAGGATGCCGAGGTGGGGACACAAGCTGGACTCTGGCCTGCTGAGTGGAGTCGGTTCAGCCCAGTCCCGTCCACCACCTGGAATGCTGATTTCGCTCCAGAAAATCTCATCTGAAAAAGGTATTTCTTTCCACTGCTGGAGGGATTTATTGGCAAAACTAGCCATCTATTAACATTATCTGGGGACTCTGTGCTGGTGAGAATAGATACTATAAATCTTCGTTGTATAAAAACCCAGGAGCTAGAAGGCTTTAGTGGACGGCAAATAGAAAAGTCCAGGGAGCTCAGGCCTGTTTATTTTACTTAGAGGGAAAGAACATTCGCTGCCCAGCCAGGCAGGAAATGGGTTTTGGGGACGGCCACTTAGCCCAGCTGTTGGCCCTGAAACTGTGGGAGTAATCGCTGCCTGCAATTAAGGCAGGCGGCTCAGAGGACCGCGTTCTGTCCCAATGGTGGGGCTTCTGGAAAAGGCAAGCTTGAAATTCCAGGCAGGCGGCCGCGGAGCCGGGTGAGGGGGAAGTCTGCAGCGAGCGGCTGTGAGGGCAGCTCCAGGCCCCAGTGTGTCTGGTTAGGGTCAGTCAGCGGCTGGGAGGCGGTCACCCTGGTGTGAGTGGTGGGTGGGTGGGAGGGGGCAGGGTTGAGCAGGACCCCAAAGCTCTGTCAGCTGATTCTCTCCCCCAGGACTTTGCGTTTGCATGCTTGGGGGCAAGCCTGGGAGAACCGGGGGGGGTGTTAGCCGCTCAGTCCTGTCCGACTCTCTGCAACCCCATGGACTGCAGCCCGCCAGGCTCCTCCATCCGTGGGATTCTCCAGGCCAGCATACTGGAGTGGGTTGCCCTTTCCTTCTCCAGGGGATCTTCCTGACCCAGAGGTCGAACCTGGGTCTCCCACATTGCAGGCCGATTCTTCACCGCTGAGCTACCGGGGGAGAACCGGAGGGCTTCGTCCTTTCCTGCGTTTCCGGCTGGTCCCAGAGCCTGGGCTGAGGCTGGTACAGGGAGCGCCCACCTCGCTTGGCTGACCCCAGGCCCTCCTCTCCAGCCTCTAGGTCCTGAGACACCCCGCATCCTCCTGGGGGTTTTCTCTGCACTTCGATCTGTTAGCACCGGTTTCTGTTGATGGTTGTCAGACCCTCGGCAGATCTGCAGCAGTGAGGACCCCACATCCCCGCACCTGGACCCGGGGCAGCCGAGAAGTGTGGGTTCCAGGGGTGGAGGCCTGGAGAGAGAGAGAGGCTCCAAGGACCTGCCTCCCTGAGGGGGATGTGGTTGTCCCAGAGCCCCCGGCTGGCAGGGAGGGGTGAGTGCAGGGCTCAGGGTCCTGCACAAGCTGCTCTCCACGAGGGCGCTGGCCTCCCCTTCCCTGCAGGTCAGGTGGACAGGGGTCAGCCCTGGGTGGGCCTTTGCCGAGGTCGGAAGAGATTCCACACCTGCGCTTTGGGATAGCTTGTGTGCATCTCAGTCCTTGCTCCAAGCTGGACGTGTCCCCTCCAACTCATGTGTTGAAATCTGTCCTCCTCCAGGTGATGGGGCCTGTGGGAGATGCAGGGTCACGGGGCTGGGATCACTGCCTTCTAATGAGGGGGCTTCATTGGGGCTTCCCTGGTGGCTCAGAGGGTAAAGCGCCTACCTGCAATGCGGGAGACCCAGGTTCGACCCCTAGGTCGGGAAGATCCCCCAGGGGAGGGCATGGCAACCCACTCCAGTATTCTTGCCTGGAGAATCCCATGGATGGAGGAGCCTGGTGGGCTTCAGTCCACGGGGTCACAAAGCGTCGGATACGACTGAGCGACTTCACCTCACTTCTCTCCTCTTCTTCAATGAGGGGACAGGGGGAGAGCAGGTCGTCTGCAGCTCCAGAGCAGACGTCGGCTCTCTCCCCCAGGCATCCAACCGGCCCCACCTTGAGCTGGGCCCTCCCAGCCCCCACAACTGGGGAAGGAAACCCACTCGGCCTGAGGCATCCTGCTGTGGAAGCAGGGCAGATGGAGACAGGTGAGGCCTCTTCCGATCACGTCTCTCGCTGATGTGCCCTGAGCGTCAGGGACCGCGGGGAGGCCGTGCTGGGTGGTCGTGGGCACACGCTCAGTGGTCGGACACCTGACGGCCCTGTTCAGGCCTGGAGAGCTGGGGCGGGGCGCCAGGCTCTTTCCGCGGATGGGGATCAGGGCTCAGCTCCGAGATCCTCCACCTAGGCCTGGCATCAGGCCTCATGGCCGTTTCAACATCCTCTAGGAAAAGCAGCCCAGTTGGCCGGCACCTGGTGGGGCGGGCCGAGTTTGTGGTCCTTCGGAAATATCCCGAGAGCACCCTCCCGAATCTGAGGGTTGCTGGAGGATGGGAGAGCCAAGCGTTGTCCCTTTGTCCCCTTGTCCTCCACTCTTGCCCCCCCCGTGACCCGCAGAGGTCAGGAGCGGGCACAGGGCGGTGGAGGGGGTGCCCCAGAGTCAGGGTGATGCCGGGCCTGGGTCATTTCTTTGGCCTGGGCTTCCCCATCTGCTGGGGCCCATGATGCAGAGTCTCCGAGGCTGCCCTCGGCCATGGAGGCTACAGCTGCCTTCCTGCCTTTGAGAAATGGACCTGCCCTTTCCTGGGTGAGCGGAGTCTCAGAAAGAGGCGGCGGTAATTAATATTGATGCGGCTTCAAATGTTAAAAGTTAGAATTAAATCCAAAACAAAAGGAGAGGGTCGTAGGCAGCCAATTACATGGTGACTTCTCCAGGGCTGCTCACCCACTTTGGGGCGGACCGGACCTCGTCCGGCTCTGCCAATTAGCTCACCCTCACCTCCCTCTGCCGGGGTCCTCGGGCCTCCTGCAAATTGCAGGGAAGGGCTAGATCGGCCCCGTGGCAGACGCGTGGACTGTCTCCCGGGCTGCAAATGCCAGGGAGGAGGAGGCGCCTGTCAATTTGCAGGGCTCAGGCCCTGGGGAGGAGAGGCGGCCGTGGTGCCCGAGCCGGGGTGTGAGGATTAATGAAGGCGGCTGGGAAGATGAAAGAGTGCGGGTGTTTGAGATGAAGCCCAGCGGGCTGTGCGAGCTCAGGATGAATTTCAAAAAGCAGAGGCTGTGGGTCGTGCACTAATTACCTCGCATGGATGGGATTGCCTATCATGTCTGAGTCTCCGTATGTTTGGGTGGAAGGAGAGGTGGACAGCCTGCTGGGGCAGGTCGACCGGGCAAGGAGGTGAGGGCTGGATGCCCAAGTCTCCCCCAGCGCAGTCCTGTGGCTCGGAGGCCAGATTTGAACCTCCTTCCTTAATATCCCCCACTTAGACCTCAGTGGGTTTGTGAGGGCCCCTGAGGTGACTAGGATTCAGGCCAGGAGAGGGCCCGGGGACGGGGTCTCAGTCTTGGTGTTCAGCCCCAGCCTGCACGCTGGCACAGGCCTTCATGTGGGCGGCCCCTCCTCGTGACGACATGGTGGGGACCTTTCAAGAAGCATGACTACGTGAGCGATGGGTCAGCCGATGCTCAGAGTGGACAGGGAGGGCCTTGAGGTCACCAGCTGGTCAGTGGCAGAGGCAGGGCCCAGCCTGGGGCCCACCTGTTACTCTTGACCACTCTGCCCGCTGCTGCCCACTGGGGACTCGGCAGACGCTGGCGGTGGTCATGGGCCGTCAGGAAGGTGGGGTGGGGTGGAGCAGCTCCGGGGGGCAGTTGGGGTCAGGGTAGGGTGCTGTGGCTGGGGCTGGGTCAGGAAAGGCCCAGTGTCCTGCACAGGAGTCAAGATCTTGTCCAGGGCCCAAGGTGTCCCTGGGGTAACCTGAGGTGTTGAGGGGGTTGCATCAGGGCCAGCTCTGTGCTTTGGAAGGCTTTCCCCATGGTCCCTCAAAGTGCGGGTGTGTGTGTGTGTGTGTGTGTGTGTGTGGTGGACCTAGGCTGGGAACTCACAGCCCGGGAGGGATTTAAGTGACCAAATTAGAAGGACATGGCGGCTGCCCTGGTCTGGGCTGGTATCAGCATCTCCATTCCATGGATGAGAAAGCTGAGGCTCAGAACTCTATCAGTTAGCTCTCTGTGTAACCAGCTATGCTCGCGTTTACTAACTCAAAGTGGCAATCGCTTCTTTCTCTGGGTCTGCAGGTCTGCACGGCCGACCCTGACCAAGTTGGGCTGGGCTCACTCCTGCGTCGGTGCTCAGAGGGCGGCCCAGCTCAGGTCAGGCTGGGCTGCTGGGGACAGCTTGCTTTTCCTCCGTGTCATCTCTGATCGTGCGGCAGGCCGGCCTATCTGCTGGGAGGGCATGGAGCCCCTGAGGGCAGGCTCAGAGTGGGGTGACATCACTTTTGTTGGATGCTTTGTCCAAAGAGGTCCATCCAGATTCAAGGGGAAGCTCAGACTCCACCTCTCCTGGGAGGAGCTGCAAGTCACAGCGGGAGGGGTGGGCATTTGGGGGTGGGGTAGGGGTGACGGGCTTGGGTTGGGGTGGGCCGGCAGACCTTCTGCAGAAGCCCCTAGGAGGGGTTGTCAGATATGCTTGGCTGGTCAGGGAAGGTATCTTGCAGGGTTGGGACTCCCCAGTCTCTACCCACCAGTGTGTTTTACAAAGTTCAGTTTCTTTGCTATAAATTCAAGGCTCATGAAACTTTTCTTTAAAACTTGGAATGGCAGAAGGCAGGCTGCCTCCCATGTAAGATGAGTTTATGAGCAGGCCAATTGCAAATTCATAATTAAAGGAATTTGACAAGAATCAAAGAGGACTGGTTTCCACTGGAGGTTTGGTTGAGTTAATTACTGGTTCGTACCCTGCCATGACGGGCGAGCTTTCGATATTTGAAGTGGGGAGGGCTGGGAATTCGCTGGGAAGATGCAGTGAAATGTACGTGCCAATACTGATTTTGTCAGTCGAGGTCCCCCCACTCGACATCTTAGAGGTGTACAAAGGTGTTTTGTGCCTGCCTTCTGCAACGTTCAGAAGACTTTCCATGAGGCTCAGAGAGAGGTCCCCAGGCAGCCCGTCTGGGGTGAGGCAGGGCGCTGAGGATGTTCCAGGTGGACGAGGTGGCCATGGCCCCGGGCTCATAAGGGGTCTCTGCGTCTGTCCGGCCCAGTGACCACACGGAACAGCCCCTGGGCTCTCTGCTTCCAGACCCTTGCTCCAGGATGGCTGTCCCACTGTTGCGTGCGTGCTCAGTCGTGTCTGACTCTTTGAGACCCTTTGGGGTATAGCCCTCCAGGCTCCTCTGTTCATGGGTTTCTCCAGGCCAGAATAACTAGACTGGGTTGCCATTTCTTTCTCCAGGGGATCTTCCCAACCCAGGGATCAAACCCATGTCTCTGGTGTTGCAGGCAGATTCTTTACCAGCTGAGCCACTGGAGAAGCCCCGTCCCACTCTTGGGAGAGAGTCAAGTGCAAGGATGAGGCACTCTGGGCTCTGGGTCCTTCTGACCGCTCCAGGGCACTTGTTCACATCTGGGCCTCACCCACCCCTGGGCTCTCCTTCATCTTGAGCTTCTAACCTTGCTGGTTCTGCTGGCTGAAACACTCTGGGACATTCTGGAACACTCTTCCCAGTCCCTCCTTGCTTCTTCTCCCACCCCAGGAGTGTCAGGATGCAAATGTGGCACGTACTTATGTGGACGGACTTGCTCATCCCTGGAGGGGCGGCTCTGGACCCAGCTGGGCAGCCCATCGGCAGGCGACCTGTAGATTGTGCTGCATGAACTGTGTCTTCAGTCGTGTCTGACTCTGTGTGACCCCATGGACTGCAGCCCACCAGGCTCCTCTGTCCATGGAATTAAGAATACTGGAGTGGGTAACCATGGCCTCCTCCAGGGGATCTCTCCATCCAGGGATCAAACCTTCATCTCTTATATCTCCTGCATTGGCAGGTGGGTTCTTAATTACTGCTTCTACCTGTAGATCTGGGGCATGAAAATAAATGCCTCTGTCCAGAAGCAGCTGAATTCAGGGAGCCATTTGTTACGCAGCAAAAGCTGACTGATGGACCTGGCTACGCCATACACTCATGCTGTCTCACATGACCTGTCACTTCCTCCAGGAAGCCTTCCTTTGCTGCTAAGGTCTGGATTGAGTGTGCCCACCGTGTGCCCTGTCCTGACCGTTGTCCTGCTGTGGGATGACTGCTTTCTCCCTGTCCATGTCTGGCTTCTCTGCAGGATCACAAAGCAGAGAGCCTTCCCTTGCCCTCAGCGTGCTCACAGTGACCGCACGCCAGGCGTGAGCATGGGGCTGGGCTTGTCCCCTTCCCGGGTCTGACAGCTGCTCAGCCTTTTGCCAGCTGTGTTGTGTGGGCAAGTCACTTGCTCCCTGGCCCCAGCAGGGATGATGGAGCCAGGTGTCAAGGTGAGGTGCTGGGTGACCTGGCCCACAGGGGGCTTGACAAATCTCTGCCTTTGCTTCGAGACCCCACCCCTGGCAGCCCCTGGTCCATACGCGGGGGCGCCCTGCCCACTGTCTCTCTGAGCCTCAGTGTCCTCCCTGGAGGGTGTGGGAGCAGTCATCACAGCTACCTGTGGTCTCCACGGGGCAACGGGGGCTCTGCTCCGGGGCCTCTGCCGGCCCGTCACGGGTCTCCACCTCCTCCCTGCGGCTGGGCTTTGTCTTCCAACACAGACAGGCCGGCTGCCTGGTCTCTGATGCAGGCCCGCCCCGGCCTGGGCAGACGAGAAAGGCCTCTCCTGCCAGCCCCCTTGGCTGCACCCAAGCCCTCTGAGCCCCACTCTAAAGAGGATGAGGGCCGTGCCCCACCGCCTAGGTGTGTGTGAGGGAGGGGCACCGCACCATTCACGCAGGAATGTTCTAAGCTGCAAGGGCCCCGTGATGGGGGTGATCAGCTGCCTCTCATGGGCAGGGCCTTGAATCCTTTTCCACAGCCTGCCCCACGTCCAGCCGCAGCCTTGCATGAGAGGGGCTGGTCTCCCAGCCCCTTCCCGGGCCGTCTGATTTCTCTGCTGTCCCTGGATCCCGGAGGAGGTGGCTGGGCCCAAGATCACTTGGCTGGCACCTCCGTCACTGTGTGATAGACCTCCTACATGGACCATGTGTGTCTGGGACCCAGAGCCTGGGTTGCCTGGGTGGCGGGACTCAGGCCGCTCATCTGCATAATGGGCTCCTGAGGCCTCCCCTCCTCCGCAGTGGGGCTAGAAGGAAGGGATCAGCGGGTGACAGGTGTGGGATCTGCACCAGGCCCCGAGCGGATGTGACCTTGTGCTGGCCCCGTGACTGCTGTCACACGGGCATCGTCCCTGCGTTTTCTGCACCAGTGATATGCACACACCTTGTGTGGGGCCCACCGGCCCCAGACACCTAAAACGGAGCTGTGATGGGTCACAGCAGCTAGATCCTACTAATTTCTTGAAACACTTGTTTCTGGGGCGCAAAGGCGCTTCATGCCCATCACACGTGGTCTGGAGGATACAGCGAACAGCCCAGAGAGGAAAAGTGCCTGCCTTTCAGAGCCCGGACTGCTCACCAGTATCTCTGGGGCCACCGAGCCCCCTCCCTGCCTTTCAACACCCTGGGATGACCGCTAAGATTTTCCTGAGTTTTTAAAGTTTCCCTAAGCTTAAATCATGGCAGATGGTGATTGCAGCCATGAAGTTAAAAGAGGCTCACTCCTTGGAAGGAAATTTATGACCAACCTAGACAGCATATTAAAAAGCAGAGACATTACTTTGCCAACAAATGTCTATCTAGTCAAGGCTGTGGTTTTTCCAGTGGTCATGTATGGATGTGGGAGTTGGACTATGAAGAAAGCTGAGCACCAAAGGATTGATGCTTTTGAAGTGTGGCGTTGGAGAAGACTCTTGAGAGTCCCTTGGACAGCAAGGAGATCCAACCAGTCCATCCTAAAGGAGATCAGTGCTGGGTGTTCACTGGAAGGACTGATGCTGAAGCTGAAACTCCAATACTTTGGCTACCTCATGCGAAGAGTTGACTCATTTGAAAAGACCCTAATGCTGGGAGGGATTCGGGGCAGGAGGAGAAGGGGACGACAGAGGATGAGATGGCTGGATGGCATCACCGACTCAATGGACATGGGTTTGAGTAAACTCCGGGAGTTGGTGATGGACAGGGAGGCCTGGCGTGCTGCGGTTCATGGTGTCGCAAAGAGTCGGACATGACTGAGTGACTGAACTGAACTGACCTGCAGTTTCTCTGATTTCTTTTCTGGTTAATTGTTTGCCTGAAGTCCTTGTGCACACACGAGTATACACCTTTGTTGACAATTTAATTGCAGATGATTTGAGGTTGCTTTTTCTGCTTTATAAACTATTTTAAACTTTTCTCGTGTCTCACACATTTGCAGCTGCCCGTCCCGGAGATGTGCCATTTCAGTCACTCCCCACGTGTCACTCTTGTGAAGAGGACGGACTCACAGGGACATTTTAATGCAAATCCATGAGAATGTCTCCAGGGAAAATTCTTAGCAGGGTGTATATATGTTGGGATAGAAAAATACAGATATTTAAAATACTTTCAGGAACTTCCCTGGTGGTCCGGTGGCTAAGACTCCGTGCTCCCAATGCAGGGGGCCCAGGTTCGATCCTTGGTCTGGGAACTTGACCCCATGTGCCCAGGTTAAGAGCTCACAGGTTACAACTAAGAGAGCCCAATGCTGCAACTCAGACCTGGCCCAGCCAAATAGTTAGATAAAAATAAATAGTTTGCAAAATCAAAAAAATAAAAACCTTGATACGAACTGTTCCCTCAGCAGCGGTGGGGCGGAGGCCACTGTCCCGCGTGCTGTGTCCTGTCAGGGTGGTGACGGTGGCCCTTAGCGGAGGCTCTGGCTGGCCAGCAGCCCTGAGGGAGGGTCTCCCGCTGCCTGTGGCCTGCGCCAGCCGGCCCAGCTTCATCGCAAATGCTGGGGGCACCACGGTGACCGGATGTTTTCCTCCGTGCTGGAGGCCCCAGTGAGAGCCGGCCCGGCCCCCGAGGCTGGCCGAGATGGGGAAGGGGGTGGGGCAGTGGGCCTGTGCCCCCACCGCCAGGTTTGTAGTGTGTGGATGAGCTGGGGTCATTTCAGACCAGCCTCTGACCCAGCTGCCTCCCCGGGATGCCCTGGGGGCTGAGCCCTGACCTGGGGGCTGCCCTGGGGGTCTTGGCCAGGCTCTGCTCTGACCCACCTAGGACTAGAGACGGCATTCCCACCTAGACACCTGGTCCCGCAGGTCAGCCCGGATGTGCCTTTCAGACCTGTCTGCCCTCCTTCTGCACAGATGTGGCGGACGCAGATGGCGTGTTCCCTGGGGTGGGAACTTGCCTGTGTAATGTTGCCGAAACCTGCTGGCTTACCTGACCCGTTTCACAGAGGAGCATGGAGGCTCAGAGAGGCCCACTTGAAACCCGAGGGCCTCTGGCAGGAGTGGGATTCTCCGTGTGGGCCCCCTGTGTCTGGAGCCCTCTGTATCTTTTCTCACTTTTACTTTTGGCTGTGGCATGTGGGGTCTCATTTCACACGGGCTTCCCTCTAGCTGTGGCATGCAGGCTTAGCTGCTCCACGGCAGGTGGGATGTTAGTTCCTAGACCAGGGATCGAACCCACATGCCCTGCATTGGAAGGTGGATTCTTAACCACTTAAGGGAAGTCTCTGGAGCCCGCCTTTCTGATCCCGGGCCTGAGATGGAAAACCTTGTGGGCCTCGTTCGTGTCTTGCAGACACAAGACCATCCACGCTTGTGCCTCAAGCTGGGGCAAACCACATGGGACTCGGGGCCACAGTGAAAGGTCTGTAGGTTTTCATGCTGCATAACTGTAAGCAAAAGATGCAGAGCAATAGTAGACAGACTGAACACCAATTTGCTGTCAAACTTCCAAATCAAGCCCTCTCAAAAATTAAGAACGAGAGGCAGAGCTTGGCACGTGGCCTTAGTCACGGCGGTTTCTGCCTGACATGGCTCCAGGCACTTCTGGGGACAGCTCCTCCGACTGCGGCCCCGCCCCCGTGAGACACCCCACGAGGCCGCCGGCGAACGGCCGATCTGATCAGTGACTGCATTTCTCAGCCGGGCAGAACCTCCTTCCTCACCATTAACCAGAATCCGAATCATTTCGTGTCTAAATTGAACTCCAAGGGAGCACTCCGTCTTCCAATCTAACAATCGTCTTTTTCCTGCATTGACAAATATAATGTTGGGGTTTTTGGTGATAATGCAAATGGATTTTGAATCTAATTGAACTTTTTATATCAAATATTTCAAAATAACGATGACATTTCCCTCAGCATCCACAGATGTTGCTCCCAGAATCTTAATAATTCTTCTTTAGGATTCAAATTATAACCCTCACTAAACATCATGGGTGAGCATTGCTGATGGTTTTGCTTTGAATCCATCAACTTTATCATTAAATGTTACCATATTTTCGTACAGTTCTTGCAATTTTCAAATAAGTTTATTTCAGTGCTCAACAAATGGCGATGAAGTAAGCTGTTTTTGAAGCCAGTGATTTTGCTTCGATAAATCAGTAAAAAAAGAAAATCTGTATTTTAGTCCTAAACTCCAGATTGAATCTCTCCGCTGTGAGGGACCAGTGCTGGGGTTCTGACCCCATTTCTTCCCAGAAAGCTGAAAACAGCTGGTATTTACTAAATTCCTCAGGTTTATCATTTCCGATGTACAGGCAAATTTGCGTGCGAGACCTTGAATTTGGAGTTTTCAGAACAAGCGTTCTTGCCTCCTGTCACTGCCCCTCTACCTTCCTGACGAGAGGTGCCCAGTGCTTCGGAAAAGTTTTCAACATGATCATCGACCACGAGGAAGATTTCATTCGCCCAGCAGCTGGTTGTGTCTTTTTTTTTTTGGCAACACAGATGGTATTTTCCAGTAAGCGTTTTCTTCAGGGATGGGTTTCTGCAGTACCAGGTGACGGGCCCGAGCCCCTGGCTTTTCCACTTGGACACAGGGGATAGTGTGACCCTTAGATGTTGGGGTGCCCTGCGCTTTCTGTGTGCGCCCTCCACTTCTGGGGAGACCCTGCTCCCTGGCAGCGGGCAGGAGCTGGAGGGCAGACCTGCTGATCTGCTCTTGGACCCAGCCCAGGTGTGCTGAGAAGCCTAGGTGGTTCCAGAAGCTCTGGTGAGAGCCTCTGACCTTGTTTTTTATTTCTCAGAAGAAGGAGGAGGGACCAGATAGTATATCCCTTCATCTTCCCTCCCCTGAACCTATCAGCCTCCTATCCTGGACCTGTTTTCTGTTGGACGAACCACCCAGAGCCCTTCCTGTATCCAGACTCGCATCCCTGTGGTCCCCTCCCGCCTCCCTCCCGCATCCCCATCTTTACTTGCTCCTCTGGTCCAGGACAGCCAGCATCCATGAGCTACACCAGCTCCCAGGGCAGAAAGAAACCCTTCCTTGACTCTGACTCTGAAGCACCCCCTTCTTCTGCCTGTGTTCCCACCTCCAGCCAGTCACGAGACTCCCACGCCCACGAGCAACCCTTCCATTCCCAGGCCCTGTCCTCCTGGAAGGCGATTGTGAGCCTGACCTTTATACGATCACTTCTTCTATCGCTTTGCCATCCTCCAACATGTTATGTAAGTATCTTCAGGTAACATGGTTTAGTTCTGCATGTTCTAAATATTTATGCCGATGAAACTATATAGGAGGTGCTTTGGGGTTTGGCTGGCTCGACCCAACTTTATGTTTTAAAGTTTATGTTTGCTCCCCAGGACTGGGTGTAGCCGCGAGCATTCGTTTTCATTGCTGATACCGAGACAGTCTCACGTACTTGCTAGTAAATGATATTTGGGTCCTGGTACAAACGTGCAGGGCTTCCCAGGTGGCTCAGTGATAAAGAATCCGCCTGCCAATGTGGGAGATGCAGGTTCAATCCCTGAGTTGGGAAGATCACTTGGAGGAGGAAATAGCAACCCACTCCAGTATTCTTGCCTGAAGAATCTCATGGACAGAGGAGCCCGCTGGGCTACATCCATGCAGTTGCAAAAGCATCAGCTATGACGTAACTACTAAACAATAACAAAAACGAGTGTGTATGTTTTTCTCCTGGGTGTTTATATACGTCAGAGTGAAACCCTCGGTCACAGAGCACGTGCATCTGTACATTTCTTAGACGAATCTGTTGCAGGCACACGGCGTCTCGGGAGGGTCCTGTTTCTGCATCTTCGCCAGTCACTTTCAGTCTCTTGGTTTGTGGTTATTTCTCCCTGAGGTGTTAGACATGCACGGCCCTCATGGCTAAGGCTCCACTGTCCTCTAGCTGGGGACCAGCTTTAGTGATGTTCTGGTTCATGTGTCAGGCTGATTTTTTGACTGGCTTTGCAAGGGTCCTTTATATATCTCAGATACGAGACTTTTGCCAGTTATACGTGTTGCAAATACTTTCTGCCACCTGTCTTGCCTTTTGACTCTTTTACTGGTGTTTTTGGATGTATAGAAATACTTAATTTTTATGCGGCCAACTTCATCCAATTTTCCCTTGATGGTTATTGCAATTTGAATCCTGTTCAAAAGTCTTTCCCCATCTAAAGGTCATGAGGCTATTTTCTTATATCGTCATTTAAAAGCTTTGTTAAGTGTTTTGACTATCACACTGAGATCTCAGCGTGCATGGAGTCAGTGCTTGGGCACCATGAGAGGTTGAGGGGTCAGGTTCCTTTTTTTCCCATGAGTAACCAGTTGTACCAGAACCACTTCTCTCCTTCAATGCTCTTCAGAATCATCTTTGCTCTAAATCAAGCATCCACATATCCATGGCCTACTTCTGAGCTGATTACAGGAACTTTATAAGAAATCTTGGCATCTGGCAGAGCAAAGACTCTTGAGTATTTTCCTTGCTTATCAAAACGGTCTGGCTCTACTTGCCCTTTGAACTTCCATAGCCGTTTCAGAATGAGCACACTGGGATTCACAGACATGCTTTTGGGATTTTGCTTGGTATTACAGAGAATGTACATGCGGGGAGCATTAACAGGTGTGTAATCTTGTATCCAACCATCAGTGCAAACGGCATTTTCTCTGTTTCAAGAGCTTCTTTTAAATGTCTCAATCATGTTTTATCATTTCCTGAATAAAGACCTTGACGCTTTTGTTAGATTTATCCCTTCTTCATATTTTTAGACGCTGTTGTAAATTCTTTTCCTGAACTTGTCTCAGGGAGGTATAATTTGCGTACAATAAATTACACAGAATTTAGAGTACAGTTCAATGAGTTTTGACATATACACACACTACAGGTAACAAGCTCTCAATCAGGAGAGTTCCCTGGTGCCTCTTTCTGGGAAGTTGTCCCATCTCTCTTGCTGAGACAACCACTATTTGGATTTCTGTCACCGTGGATTAGATCTGTCTGATTTAAAACTCTGTATAAACGGAACTAGACAGTATTTACCCTTTGGTGCCTGGCTTCTTTCATTCAACGCTTGTGAGAGTTAGCCATGTTGTTCTGTGTGTCTGTTGTTTGCTTTTGTTGTTTAAGCGCTAAGTTGTGACCGATGGTCTTGCAATCGTATAGACTGTAGTTTGCCAGGCTCCCTGTCCATGGGGTTTCCCAGGCAAGAACACTGGAGTGGGTTGCCATTTCCTTCTCCATCTGTGTGTCTATAGTCATGCCTTTTTATTTCATAATGGCATTTCATTGGATGAGCATATCAATTTGTCAGCCACCTGTGAATGGTTATTCACGCTGTTTTTAGTTTTTGGCAATTATGAACGAAGCTTCTATAAACATTTTGGTAGAAGTCTTGGCGTGGATGTCTATTTTCATTTTTTGGTTAAATATCTGGAAGTGAAACATCTGGTTTGCAGGATGGGGGGATGTTTATCTGATGAGAAAATACAGATGAGCTTTCAAAGTGATTGCACCATTTTCCACACCCACCAGCCAGTGTCTGAGAGTCCCTAGTCACCCCTGTCCTCATGTTTGTTGTTGTCCGGCATTTTAATTTCACCCTTCCCAAGTGAGCGTTAAGCACTACTCATTGTGATTTTAATATGTATTTCCCTGATGACTAAATGATTTCGAGCATCTTTTCATATGCTTATTGGCCACTCAGACATCTTCT